CTTTTCATGCAGATAACTGTATTTGAGGTTCCATAATGAACTGTACTGTACCTCTGAAAATTATTCAGTCATTTCAACATGCATGTGTTTGCATTTGAAAGAAATAATTCTCGGGGGTAACCTCGTTTGAAACTGGACCAAAGGCAGTTAACATAGCCATAAAAGCTATCAGCATGTCGAACAACGAAAAAAAAAACGTTTTCACAAATCATCCACTCTCTATTGTTCTGAGCTATCAGTATCAGCTTAATTTTACGTAAGCACCGTCAAATAAATGTCACAACATTCCTTATCTCCGAAATCGAATGCTTGGGATCACAACTCCGAGATGTCGTGACGCACTTGACAACTTTGCATAAAAGGGAGGAACTTTGAGCGAAGCTTGCGACACAAGTCTAAACAATACGTAGAGAGCGAAAGGTACTATAAGTTGCGTAGACGAGAGAGTCAACAGTCATTCCGCAAAAGCTATGGTTTATCTAAAAGAATTCGTTTCGGTGTGTCTCTTAATAGCCTTCCTATTGACGTTTACAAGTGCGAGGAAGGACAAAGGTAATATTGGTAACATTTTAATACACTACATGTATTCTACTGACCGAATGTGCATTTTCAATTCACTTCCCTTTGTGCCTAATACGTCCTGCCGTTAAATATATACCACCTCCTTTATTTTTGCGCAAGGAGTGCGAAGACCAGTGAAGAAAGAATCTATTTACTCTTTTTTTTCAGAGCTTGCAGCTCTTAACAAAAAAGTTGATAAAGTCCGACGCTTTTTGTTACTACACGCGTGGATGCAGTCAGAAAGAGAAACGTCCCGAAGGTCCAAACGAGCAACGAAGTCAAGAAGGAGGGCAAAGTTTCGTCTGCCATATTTTCCACTTTATCCAATAGACGTGCCAGGTACGTTTATTGATTTAAGCCCCTGATTAAACAAAAAACAGTCGTGTTAAGTACAAAGAATTACATGTATCTTATTTATTTATTTTTCTGCTAATATACGGTTTCAAGAGACTTCCTTACTCACGACCAGTTTACGTGCACGGTTTTAAACAAGGCATTATATTCACATGGCACTAATTTTTCGGGCTCATTTGTTCTTTAAAATATTTTTTTTGGAATTTTTTTATGTTTCTTTTTAGTAGACGCAATATCTTAAACGACATTACAAACTGTGCCTTTGAACATGTTTGGGCCAGATCAAAGGAGATGCCGCCCAAGGTTTCTCGAGAGTTCTTAGATTAATCTCGTGCAGATCTATATATTCTGAGATTATTTACTCGGTTGTCCTTCCACAGTATCACGAACCGGGATAACGAAATCTTACTGTGAAAACAAATCTTTGATAAGAATAAGGCTGTTTCTTGATATTTGTGAAGATGTATTTTGTCAGAGTTGCTTAGGGTAAGCCAGTGAATTTGATAAGTTAATTTTCAGTTCGCAAATGGTTCAACAGCTCTCTGAAATAGACAAAAGGAGGCAAATTATCTTATGAAAAGGTGTGATATTGGTTTTATCTTTTGGTGCTGTTGTCACACTGTGATAAATCCATTTAAAAACTATTCAGGTGATAAGTTTTGTTATGCATTTCTTGGAGACGTGCAGGATTTCAAATATTATGAAACACCCTTAGAAGCACTGGCAGGTCTTTCTCCATAAAACCCTGAACACTACTTTCATAGTTTATCTGGCCCGCTGTTAGTGGCGGGCAAATTAACCGTGTCGTACAGAACAATGCAATTTCGAATGAGTTTTCTCTCCACAGCAAGCGAAAACTTGAGAACAAGGCAAGATAAGAGCCGGCCATAAATCCTGCTAAACTCGTCATCAGCCTGTCGAAGTACTGAAGGAATGCTAAAACGAGTTTGTAAGCACGTGAATTAGACATTAATAGGAAACAGGCACTTGACTACTTTTCAACGTTTGGTAATTATACCTTTAGTGTAGAATTCGCCGTGAAAATTAGTTTTAACTCAATTAGTTTTAAAAAACAGGTCATGCTCTCTTAACACACACGACCACTAAGTAAAAGCAAGCACCGTCATGGAGGGCTGACGAAAAGTGCGAAAACAGCTCAAAATAACTCATTTCCTGTTCGAGAAAGATCAGCCTTGTCGAACGTTATCAGTGTAAAGTTAGCCGGGCCACCTGGTCGAGAACTCTCTGGGAAGGGGAGGGGGAGGCTACTTCCTTATACGGGCTTTATAAATATGAGAGGCGCCTTAGGGTATGGTTTCTGCGTGGTTTTGGTCTGAAAAATGGTGTGGATTTTGGCAATTTTGGTCTGAAGTAGAGTATGTTTTTCACACCTGGCTTGGCATTGGGTATTTTGTTTTTAGAGAATTAACTGTGTTTTCCGCGTGAAGTTGACAAATTTGTAGTTCTATCAAATGTTTACAGAAACGAAATGTACTAATTTTAGAAGTCTGAAATGGGGCATCGATTTTTCGCTCAGGTCTGAAATAGGCTAGGGAAAATCACAGAGTTTGGTCTGAAATAGGGTAAGGGTTTCAAGGTTCGGGCCGCTCACCTTCATCAATGACTTTGGGAAGTACCCTACACCCCCCCCCTCCCCCGAGAACTCTCCTGTATCAATGACGGCAATAGGTTGTTAACGTGCAAATCAAATAAAAACCTCACTAGGTCGTTAATGAACCTTGCAGCGTAGTGTAATACGATTGTAATGCTAACTACATGTCATTGTCGTTAAAAATTCGATCAAAAAATTGTCCAATTTTTGCGAGTCCAAAATCCCGATTTGGATGGGGATGACATTGGAGGAGTATCATAAAAGAGGTTATGGATGGGCCGAGGTAACAACTGATTACTGAGAATTGGTCCAAATTTTAACTGCCATTTGAGAAATGAGGCGTTTTTTCTAATTAATAGCTTAGATCTGAGATCTGAAAAAAAAAATCACTGGAATCTGAGAAATGGCTGAAATTTTAACTGATAGTTGAGAAATGGGATGAAATTTAAGACCCCCACAAAATCCTGGGCAGGTAAATACAGCTAACTGAGTCTCTCGGCGTGCTTAATGCTCTATCATATTTGCTTTGGTTTTGCGCGTGACAGCGCCCCGTACTCACCGTGACACCTGTATTTGCTCTCGAAAACGCAAAATTTAATAAGCGGATTAATCTTATCTCTTATCTGTTTGGCCAAGAGACTGTCGATGATCATCGTCTTTTTGTTTGACCCAAGCTATATTCAATGAATATGCACCCTAATGTTTCCGTCCCAGTTAGCGATAAAGCTTAATAGCCTCGACTTCCATTTCATCAGAATTGCCTGAGGTTAGCGGCCCTTTTTGTTTCATTTTTTTTCCCGCGGCGTAACTTGGGATAAGGCTGCTATCGCTATCGCTCTCAATACGAGTTGCGTAAGAGCGACAGTGGGCGAGGGGGGCTTGAAGGCTTTTTGTTACGTAATCAGAGTTCGGTAGAGAACAGTTTTCTGGCGCGTACAATGGATACGTTATAACGAGATTCTCTACAGAGTTTTCGATTCTGAAATTTGGACCTTGCACTGTAACCAATCAGATATCAGAACGGCTACGTCAGTCTTTTCAGCCAATCCTCGTTTGTCTTTCGTCACTTTCGAATAAACATTATGATTGTAGCAGTTAAAACTGTCTCGCGAAATGTTGTCACACTGGAAAGCGTTAGCCTCTTCC